TTACAAAATGGATCGATTTCTTTTCTAATTTGATCTAATCATGATCAAATCTATGGAATAAAGAAAACAAGTAGAACAAGTAGTACACGTAATAGTGTAGAGATTTAGATCAATTGTCACATAAAAATCACATAAAACCTATATTTTATATATCATACATGCGTGCATATACACATCTTATGTTATATCTTATAAATTATTCTATAATATATTTAATTCTGTATTTAATTAGTATTTCTATAGTATTTGTTGGAGAAGTTTGAAATCAAATTTTCTGCCTTAATATATGCTATTAAGAGAATGTATTTTATATAAAGTTTTCAAAAGTTTTCAAAAATAGTTTTATTAATATTTTATATTATATTTCACACATTATATAGCTAAAAAAATTTATAAATATTATTTTATAATATTTATAATTTATTTTGCTCTAATCTGATCAAAAATATTGTTATATTAGATTTAGATAAAATAATTTTTATATAATAAAGAAATATATTTAAATTGTCGAAACAATTGTAATGATTAGACACTAATAGTAGTTCGTCTTTTAAATTATTATTATAATGAAATAATATAATAATATAATAATGTAGCAGTTTTACAATGTAACAGATAAAATATATAAAATTTTTAAAAATTGAAAAATTATTATAATATTACTTTCTTAATTTATGTTTAATATAAATTTTTATAACTCTTACAACTTTTACAACAAGGTTGAGCATAGAAATAGTATAGAAAAACAATTTGTAAAAAAATAAAAAATAGAAGAAATACAACAATTAATATATTAAAAATATTGTTTTAATGTTTTCATCTTCTTTTTCAATAAAAATTGAGAAAATTATTGAAGAATTCAAAGAAAGTAGAAAAAAGAGATGTTAACAATATTATGCTAACGTTTAAATGTTGAGAATAGTAATAGCTTTCTCTTCTCCTTAAAATTTACAGCTATTGCATATAATGTTAGAGAATGCGGTTTATAACAAATATATTTTGATGCATTAGGATTTGGCATATTTTTTTGCAATAATCCTTGCATTCTTTTATATTTCGTATTCTAATTCCATGTTTATGAATTAAATTTGGAGAGCGAGAAGCACTAAAAAATACAAATAGAATTATATATTATTTAAAGTTATGTATTTTATTTTAACTATTAAACTCTAAGCAACTTGAGATTGGAAACAATTATTTGCGGATTTGCGTGATATGCTAAGTATAAAATATATTGATATTTACAGCAAAACTATTAGAAATTTACATCTTATAGACAAGATAAAAGGAATAAACACATGTGTCTGATCTTGAGTATAAATTAATATAGATTGTTATCATCTAGTTTTTTTTGAAGATTTTTATTATAATAAATCAGAAAAATATATAAAACAATTAGTTTATCTGAATAAACACAATATTATAAATTTCTAAAACTGAATTGCAGTGCGTGATCTTTGTATATTGTAATATTTATTTAAATCTTCGAACGATTTCAAATTAATTCTATATTGAAATATGCATTGCAGGACATTGTTTTTTTCTTTCTTCTAATTTAGATGTTATAATTACATTTCATATTATGCTTTACACTAAAATAAAACGCTAAAATTGAGTTAAAAAAATTTACATTGAAATATGTACTGCAGATATCTACAGTTCACACGAAATGGCCTACAGTTCTTATTAAAATTCAATAAATTAAAGGAGTCAAAAGGATCGTTAGGGAAATATTTGTTAGAGTTATACGCGAGGTAAGAAAATCACAAAATTTTTTATGTATTCGGGTCTAATTTAATATATTTTATCTTTTCGTATATACAAAAACATATATGTAATTGTTTAATTACAGTGCTCATATAATCTTTCTCTCGCCGCATTCTCTCTTCGATTCTGCATTATAACTTTTAACGTAATCCTGTAAAGATGACAGTAAATAATTCGTCGATAATCGATATATAAATCATTATTTAAAAGTATTGATCATTATATATTTTATTTTTCATTGCATTTAAATTTGTTATGCATTGATATTTCCGGAAAATTTCGTATTAAATTCGCAAAAGCATTATTATTTCATTTATTTAACGGTACGTTTATTTTCGTTTTCCACCTTTTTACATTTATAATAAATTAATATATATTTTTATTTTATCCAAATTTTAATTGTATTTAAATGATTATATAAGAGACATTTAGTATGATTTATAAATTCCTTTTAGCTTTTTAAGAAAAACTTGTCTAAACTTTATTTATTCTCAATCTTTAATATTTTCTTGGCGGTTTGTGTTCAAGTAATACTTATTATGAAAAAAAGATATTTATTTTAAAATCATGTTCCGGTAATTTACAAATAAAATATATACACTTTTATGTATATACATTTTTTGTGATACTTTTTTGATCAAAGTCGTATATTTGGCGCGCGAATCGAAGCTTCACATTCTTACGCTTAATATCTATAAATAACAATAAAGATACTTCATAAAAATATATCAGTGCCTGTCATTTCCGTGAATACTGGAGTTTTATTCTTACAGAATTTGTATTATAACGGTGTCCCATAAAGAGTTACAGAAATTTTAGTGCTAATAAATGTCTACATTTTGTATAAGGTAATGATGAGATGTTGTAAAATATATATTTAAAGATACATTTTCAAGAATACATTTTTACAACACTGTATTAAACATTCACTTCTTTAATATTTTCTCGAATTTGATAGAGAATATATGTATTTTTTCGCAATTAATGTTTATGTATATACACTTATAATCTGGAGACCACTAACTAATAAGCATTATCGCCATAACACTTGCTATTATGTTATTGCAAGGCACAAGAATTAAAAGGAAAATAAAATTGCTGGGGTATACCAGATCTTGTATCTATTTGTAACTTTTACAGTATGGAAGACAAATCGCGCAAGATCAGTCAATGTGAATAGGAGTGAAAATAAATTTTTTTTAGATGTTTATATTTATTTGTTGATATCTGTCTTAAAATTTTCTTCGGTAAAATTCGCATATCGAGTCTTAAATTGATGAGTATCGGGACACCGTTTAGGTACATGGAGTATGTAGGAAATTTTATTTTTTATCTTTCTTTGAAAAATGTACTTTATAAGAGTATATGATAAAAATAATTTATACATTTATACGTGATTTCTCTTTCTCTCTCTCTCTCTCTCTCTCTCTCTCTCTCTCTCTCTCTCTCTCTCTTTCTCTCTCAATAATCTTATGTATAAAAGTATTTAATTGGCATTTAGTTGTGAGGATTGTGACGCAATTTCTAATATTTTCGCGTCCCATAGATATATTTTCATTATCATTCGAGTTAGCAAAGCGATTTTTAATAGCGACGTAATATAAAAAAGTTAGAGATTTTTACAAGACGCTCGCAAAAAAATCGAAATATTAATATAGATGTGTACATTGTGTAATATGAAACGTTACAAACAAAATATCATAGATGATAATTTCGATTACTATATCTCGTAGAGAATAATAATGCATCTAACTATTGGGTTGCTGCTCGAAATTCAAACTTCTTTACTTTTGTCTTCTTTTTAAACTATGACCATTTATTTAATTGATCTCTTCCATTTTCCTTAATTTTTTATCTTGCATGTTTTTGTTTAATGTATAAAATACATATAATTTTTCCCCTTGTCATTAATATCAGTTTTAATGCAAAAAAGAGTTACTTTGAGGTTTGAAAACATGTTTCTATATATAAATAGATTAAATGTCCATTATTTTTCGTTTTGATAGAAAAGCAATGATATTAAAATTGTCTACAAGCTATTGATATCAGAAAAAAACGCGTAAAAGTGGAACGATTTCAAATAAAAATATGTATTTGAGATTCGCAAAACATCATTATTATTAGATTTTTTATTAGATTTTAGCAAGTTTTGTATCTCATTGTAAAATATATTCCGATAAATACTCTGCAATATATATTTACGATCTTTCTTAATCAACAATTATATCATTTTCATCAGGTACACAAGCGAGATAACGGGTTACAAGCTTAACTCGATGACTTCTGCGAAATTATCGGATTCGATACAATTAGCTTGGCACGCCCTTCTGTGATTCACAGAACTTCCCTGAATAACCGTCTGATTCGCGAATTGATTCGCAAAATATAAACGCAATCGCGCGTATGTATTTACAGGTTACGATATACGTCACAGGCAATATTTGGACCGCATAGAGAATTCTTTCTTCTACCTCATAATACGACAAATATTAATTTACATTTGAGACGGAACATTATTTACGCATAATGATTCGGTCGGATAGATCGACCAAGGAATCATTCGTTTAAATTATTAAATTCCTTAATTCTGACAAAATGGCGATAGGATTTAATATCGCGACAGATCTCGCAACATCGCTTTTTTATACATCGAATATGTTTATTATTTAACTTGAACAACTATCGAAATAGCGATATTATAGTGTGTCTTCCTCTTTCCTATAGATTTCTCTCTCTCTCTCTCTCTCTCTCTCTCTCTCTCTTCATTTGTTAAACTAATTACCTTCTAGAGACACATCGTACAGTTCAACTTTAAATATATCGGTTTTCTCCTCTGATTTATTATAATGTAATATCCATGTTTTCCAAATATAATACTGTTTTTATTATAATTAAAATCGTACTTTAAAACTTCTTTAATCGAGAATAGCGAATTTTTTTCAAGAATGTAATTGCAAAAATTTGATCATTGAATTATTTCAGAGATTGAAAATGTAAATATGAGAAATATGTGGAGGTATAAATATATTGAAAGAATATAAGCATGATAGAAAAGATGTAAATGAAAGAATTGTATGCTAAATAATCTAAAGTGAACACTGGATATAGAACTCGATATAGAAATATTTATAATGTCAGACTTAATTGTTGAAATATTTTATCTTTCTAAACATATTTTAATAAATTTAACTTAATGTGTATATTTTTTAATAAAAATTCAACATTAAGAATTATTGGACGACACATACACACGACCAATAGAGGCCTTTGAATTTTATTTTTAAATTTTTTTCAAGAGAATAAAGTTCTGTGACTAGTAAGCATTTGTACGGAATACTCTGTGCACAATGGAAATTTGCAAATTCTTCGTTTATATCTGTTTCTTTTAACACTCTCGCTTTATACTCTGACACCGACACCATTGTCGCTTTTGATTTCCGATACGATGTCGAATGTGGGTGTACAAATGTCAGTGGGCGTCGGAATGGCAAGAGGCGCTAATCGCGGATTTCTTTTGATCGGCGGATCTTTCAGAATGTAATTCGTGCAAGGTCTAACACGTAATCTGTTCGAATGCACAGCTGGCTCCAGTTTGAGAATTGCACAGGATCGCGTCGACGGATACCTGACTCGATGCACCGATTCTGTAGATCTGCTCTGAAACGCCGCTTCGATAACGCATCTCTTCAGATTTACCGTCGACATGGAATTGTACGCTGACGACGTGTCGCGCTCAAAATCAGGCGTGAAATCGGGCGTGAAGATCGGTCCGTCACTCTCCTCGAAGGACGTGAAGATGTCCGAGTCGGGTACAGACGGTGCGCTGAAGAAGGACTCGCGCAGGGACGACGACAAAGCATCAGGACACATGAACGGATCCAGGGACGTGAGATCGTTGAGGTCGCTGCCACTGTTGCAAGTTTGAAAATCGTTCACCGAATAGGACGACGGGAATGTTTGATGTTCCGTCACACTTGGCAGAATCTCCTGACTCCTCGAGGATTCGGACCACTTTGAGTCGGATGGCCGTCTCGAACTAAATCGAGTGGAGTCGTGCTCGGCGAAGATGGGCTCTGGTAATCTCGCATCCTTACCCTTGTCCGAGTTCCTCAACAACGCTTCAAACAAATCGATCGGTTCCAACGTCGGCGTGTTACTGGATAGAAGATTATTCTCTTGACTCGTCGTTTGATTATCGCTTCGCACGGACGGTTCGCTATAGTCTTCGATATTCAGCAGCACGGTTGGTATCACCGGATCCGAGTGCCTCACAGGACTGCATTTTTTACCTAGAGGTGACTTAGCGCGTTGTGCGACATTGTTGTTTGCAGATCCTGGGATCTCAAGACTCTGCGTTTCCTCGTCCTTAAGGGATGCTGAGGGGAAAGGATCGATGGGACTCGGCGGTTCCGAGTGTATCGTCGGGACGATTAAGGAGTCCATTAAGTTGAAAGGCTCCAGCAGAGTTACACGGTGCGTCGAATACGGATCGATTGTATTAATCGACTCGGAGTGCTTCAGCATATCCGGAGTTTTGCGAGTTTGTGTCACAGTTCTGGCAGTAAGATTTATTCTGTGCGTATGCGTGTTTCTCGACGGTGGATCTAGATTAATAAGATTAGCCAACTTGTTCGACGTAATGGTCACATGTGGAATACTCGGTGAAATGCTTCGCCTCGGTGTGCTTGCGTTAGAGTCCGGTTTAACGCTATTGGACATCGACGACGACGATGCGGAAGAGTTATTCCGCAGCCTGAGCTTCAGATTCGGGCTGGCGCGTCCGAAATGACGGAACTTGGGTCGTGGATGCGAGATGGTCTTGTTGGTAGATCTGCGTTGATCTTCCAGTTGTTGAGAGAGCATCATTGCGTGTCTCGCTAACGCGGCCTCGTATCCATGATCGAGATTTTGCACTGAGCAGCCATGATTTTTCGTGCCGTCGCCGCTCGCCGGAAAGAGTTTTATGCCCCTCCCGGAAGCATTCGCCGTGACCGCCTTGAGATTGGAATCTGACATGGACGACAAATTCGAGTTCCGCCTTTGAGGAACAATGTTATTGTGACAGAGCGCTTCGTTGAAGTCTTTTGTATCCACTACGGAAGTATTCGATCCGTTCAGCATCGGATCCGACAATGCGTTCAATGGAAAAAACTTGCGACTGCCATGCGTTCCGTCGCTCTTCAGATTCTGATAAGATATGAATTTGGGCTCAGAGATGAACGGGAAGCTCTTGTCGTTCAACCGCTTATGATTCAATCGTCGAAGATGCCTGATCTTGTTGAAGGTCGGATCTAACAAATATTTGAGATTCTTGATCTTGTCGATGTTGTGATTAGAGTCAATTACATGATTCCGATCAATTATGTACTTTGGATCGAGCATCTTCGTCAGATCGTGGATATTCTCCTCGATTATGTCGTCCGGTCGGCTGCTGCAGGAGGCAACATGTTCAATATGGTCGTGCTTCTCGAGAGAGATATCGGTCTGCCTGCCCGACACCTCCAGAGCAGATCTTCTGCTGGCGTAGAGGACGTTATGCGGTTTGGCGGCAGTGAAGCAGTTCTCCACGGACGGATGCCGTCTACTCTCGTTGCTATCGTTGTTCACCTCGGCCAGTTCGAGATTCGTGTTCGAACCGCGTCTCGTGGGTGAACAACCGTAGCGACTCGGCATCACGCCGAACAAAGCGACCAGATCTTCGGCAATCTTCCCGGCGGCGACGCGCATTTCTCCATGATGAAAAGCGTAGACCCATGGATTCGCCCCGCTGTGCGCCAGAATCGGCAGACCCAGCCACACCACCGCCCATTCCGACAGAATGTTGGTGCCACAGAAGATGTCTACCAACATGCAAGTCTGAAAAACAGAGAAGGATGTTCGATAGAGCGATATGCAACATCTGTGATATCACAATCGCGTCAAAGTGAAAAGAATAGGTTTCTACAATGAAATGGCTGAAAGATATCGATTTCCGAAGAAATATTCAAAAGCCGATACGAACGCCGAGATGCCCTTTGAAGTCTGTCTCGTCCCACGTATAAAAATTATTCACACATGCATCGCTTGTAACCCGGCAGGTGTAGCAAATTTTCAAAAGCGAAATGTAAATATTGTTTCTTCGTTGTGAGATAAATTACTAATTCACGATTCTTTTGCAGTGCATCAATGAATAATTGATTAACGAATTCTTGTTTATCGCTATAGAAAGAACTTTGGATTAAGTTACGTCAATTTGCGAAGTTTTCACATTAAAAGAGAATTCGGTAGACTTTTGGAAATATTTCCCAGCGTTTTCCTCTTTAGTTTTGTTTTTATGACGCAGAAGCAACAAAAAGCATGGCAAGTAGTTTTCTCTTTTCCGTAGTTTGTAAGCATACATCTGTCACGTTATAATTTCTTCGGTAATTTCATCAAATTGCGTTAATCTTTCCGTAGTTTAACGAAAACTTTCACTCACTTAAGACAAATTGGAACAAGCCGGGGTCAAGAAAACTTTGTTATCGTTTACCTCGCTACTTTATATCCTCCAAATCGATCAATTTGATTTAAGAGTTTCAGCGTTTAACTATGAGGAATTTTTTCTGTCAATCAAATCGCGAAGAACTTAAGCAAGATATTATTCGGAAGAGATTTATTCGCTCGGCAAATCGTTCGTTCTCGAATGCTCAACAAGAATCGAATACGATCATGATACGAATTCTATCTTAAATTTTCCAGTCTCACAACATAATCGCGCGTTGATCTCTTCGCGTATACATACGCATGTGTCCCCTGCTGCGGTGTTTCGATTTGCAAAACAAAATTTTACGCAGATTGATAAATGTATGTTAGCGGGTCATAGAAGGCCAGAATTCAATCCTCTGTGTTGGTGCACGTGTCTGATTCATCTGGCGGACATAATGTGCGATAAAAGGTGCACTGCAAGAACGCGTGGATCGTAAAAGTAAACAAGTCATTACCTCCTGTCCCGAAGTAATCGTCCGTAACCGAGATGAGCGTCAGTGACGTTCGTACAGACGAGAGACGAGATTTCATAAACGGATTTTAATAACACGACGGAGTTGAAGAGGCGAGTAAGATAGATGAGATGAATCGATACAGGCGCGTTTATTCGATCTTGGAGGAAAATTGAGAAACCGTGTGACAAGCTAATCACATGTCGAATTTGATATGTCGATCGCTTTTCGATACGTCGACGTTAATATCGGAATGTAAACTTTAACGTTTCATTCTCGTTCTTTTCTGTATGGGATCGTTTTCTCCTTTATACTTACATTATTACTCGTCACATCGTGACGCACCTTATGAACGCTATATTAGACTTAAATCTCGTTTTCCGGTGTGGTCACGTAACGTACCCCGACAGCGAAATGAAATTGATGTCATCACGCGTCCGACATCTAAGTAGCAACGGAGCTTTAATGATCAGACGGCGCAACGTGCGACCGTAGTTTCCCGAGCTCGTATTTTTTACAGGTACGCGTGGCAGCTTGCGGGGCACTCTTTTGAAATTCTTTTATGATGGCAAATGAAAGGAAAAGGAAAAAGAGAAGGTTGCGAAAACAATTTCGCGCGACGTGCTTGCGTTGTTCACTCACTTGAAATGGAAGCCACAGGATGAGGAACGCACCGACCGTAACCGCCAGCGTCTGTCCATAACGAGGCAGCACCAAGGTCTGCGTTTGATGTCTGAATGATAATTCCACTGTGTAAATTGCGCGTGCGTGTGCACGAGCGACGAGATAAACGTACATGTAGCAGCTCAGAAGGACCAGAGCGCTTGGTGCCCAGACTGCCACGAACAGAAACACCCTGACCGGCGGTAGGACGGCGGCATCGAATCTGCAGCTTCCGCTGCAAGACAAAGTTCAATAGAAGGGGGATAAATTAAAAATTTCGCACAAATATATATAAATAAAATATAATTATATTTATAATTTTTCTAATATTATGCAAAATATTTTCTATTCTTCTTTTTTTATTGACTTTTATTAAATTTTACAGAATATTTTACTATATTTTAACAGCGATATATAAAGTACACATAATATATTTAAAAAAAATATATGATATAAGCTCGGGCGAGATACGCATTGGCAGGGATGTAACTGCTTATAAAAATTTATATCTCATAAATGCAATGCTCGCAATATAAGTGGAACGAGATAGATACAGGATCCGTGCAACGGGGGTCGATCGATTCAAGTCCCCAGGTTGCTTTGTGATTGCGCAAAGGTATCAAAGGATTAAAGAACCTTCTTTTCGCTCTTTGTAGTTTATGTTTTAGAGCATCGCTTGATCGTCCGTGTGCAACACGTCGAGCTCACGAAGTGAGAGATTTTCTCGCCTCGTCAGATAGTGTGAGCAATATACCGCAGATATCGTTGCAATTCCTGACAACGATGTCATTCGAGACCTCCTGCGTTTTTATATCGCGTTTAGATTGCGTGACTTGGAATTGAATGCCGTAGGGAGATTATGTTTATGTCGAGATCGTGCTGAAAATTTGTTAAATACTGAACTTTCAAAAAGCATTAGAAGCCGTGGTCACAGATTAACAAAGTTATTTGTTTATGAATGGAAATATGCTATTTATGCGATATCTTTCTTGGAATTATATTTTGAATCTTATATTTAGTATATTAAAGTAGATAATGAAAGTAGCCATTAGGAAATAAATTTCTTGTTCGTTGCGAATCAAGGTTAATAAATAAATAAATAAATTATTGGTTTTAATAAGAAAATTATTCTAATTAAATTTTATCTTTTTATATGAATAACAAATCTAAATCTCTTATGTTTATTTCTTTTAATTAGCCTAATTTAAATGTTAAAATAGTTATTTATATGTATATATATATATATATATATATATATATATATATATCATCATATAGTCTCACGTAATAACATTTCTTTAAAAAAATTATGATGACACGTGGCATTGCAATTAAAGATATAATTATGAAGTAACGTCGAGCTCTTTGACAGTTTGTTATTATACTAAAACGTTAAAAAGATAGATAATCGAGTGTCAAAAATGGCACAACTGAACATAATTTGTTAAATCTGATTCTCATTCTTACAATGTAATATATTTTATAATCTTGAATATCACATGAACAAATCTTTTACTTATTATACTATCTGTATAATATCTATTCTTTTCGAGATGCCACGTGTCTAGTAGAATAATATGCTATGCATTTAGATCATGTAGGTGTTTTCAGATGAAACTTTAATAGAGTTTCTCGCAATTCTATTCATAGCAATGTAGCGCATTGCGTTAAAAAGTTTATTTAATGCTACAAGTGTCCGTTAAACACTCAAAGGACCGCTCCATTTTTAAAATCTTAATCAACGGAAGATTAACTCAATCGAACTTTATTAAGTAAGCTGATTCGTATTTATAGTTCTACGAATTAAATTGTATTTCCGTATACTTTAAATATCGTTTTTATTGCATATAATTCGCTTTTGTTATGTAAAATTTTTTATTATAATTTATTATTTTATTTTTATTATTTTATAATTATTCTTTTCCATTTAATTCCGAAAAATCGAAAGTTACCTGTAATATATTTTTCAGAGGTGATAAATAATAAATGTGGCCGGGATTTATACGCGCGATATATACTATCCGTAAATTATCCTAAATAATATATTTATCCGAACTTAAGGCGAGGGAATGTACTATAAGAAGTGCCATTTATTTTCATTGATTGAATAATGTTTGACTTACAATCTTTTTATAATTTAAAGTGGCAAAAACTTTTAGCGGTTTAAATTATTCTTCAATAAATATGAAATGTTATTATAAATTGTCGCGACGTAAAAAATATTCTATATTAAGTAAAAAATTGCAGAGAGAGATACACTAATAAGAGATCGCGCATGATTTCCTTTGTGACTTATGTTTCCTTTAACTGCGCGAAATGCAAACTATCTTTCTTGCTTCTATTTATTTTTATTCATCTATAATATCATAATTAAAATATTTAAAAAGTCATAATTAAAAATAAAAGTCATTTTAAAATGATTATAAAAGAATTTAATAATACTCAAATTAAATTTGCTACGTTACTTGCGATATTGTTAGTATGCGAAATATATGTATATGAATATATATTAAGCACATTTTATTGCAATTAGTTGTAATTTAACATTTAGTGATTAATTGCAGATTTTGAATAAATGATTATTCATGGGACGTTATACAAAATTACATATAGTTATTTATTCTTTATGTTTATGGAACGTGACTAGAAGAAAATTTGGTTTTAATAATTTTCCAGAGATATGTATTTTGTTTGCTAGTATGTGGGACGAGATTAAAATAGAATCTGCTACAATAAAGTTGAATTTTTTAAGAAAATTTAACATAAAAGCAAATTATCTTATCTTGGAACAGCACGATAATCCAAAATTTACATTAAATATTAATTATATGTCGTTACTTCATTTGTTAAGTTTTCCGCAAATTTATTAATACGAGACATTATTAGATAAAGAAAAACAACAAAAGGATAAGAATTAAAAATAGAACAAGGATTAAAAAATAAAATGCATGCGCGTATGTATTCAGGATTAAACTAAACAGTTCATAGGCTATTCTATTCCAACTCAAATTAGGCAATTTTACTTGAGATGAACAATCTCGAAAATCGCATGTTCTCTATAGTATATTCCCCTAGGAATAATCCTAAATAATAAATGAATACGGGATTTATACGAGAGACTATATACTATCTACAGAGATTATTCTAAATAATAGATTTATTTGAAATTAACACAGAAGAGTATACTACAAGTTACCATTTATATTCACTGATTGAGTGAACGCCTGTTGTATTTCGTAACAACTCTCTTTTTATCTTCTTTATCTTAATCTACCGCGAAATTTTTTTAGCGACTGTTCTCAATAAATACAAAATATTACTATAAAAATATATTGCAACGTAAAAAATAGTGCTGCCTATAATAATATTGATATATAAAAAAATGTTTACCTGTGCGATTGCATCTTTCCGGTGATTTGAGCGTAGATGAGGGGCGAGAGGCCGATGATAATAGCATATATCCAAAAGACCGCAATATACTTCTCTATGCTGCTGTGGGTGATGATGTTCTTATATCGCAATGGTTGCGCCAATGAAGTCAAACGATCAACCGCGATTGCCACCGTCATCAGAACGCTTACGCTGCAGAGCGCGATTATGATGCAGTACGGCACGATGCAGAGGACGGAGACGCCGTTTTCCGGTAGACCGGAGAGCTCCAATTGCATCCCGAAGGGCATAAACACACCGACCTGTCAACGTGAGGGAAGACTGTCCATGTAGCGTAAATCTAAACGAGAATCTGTGCTTGAGTTGTGTTGCACGAAAGCCGGATTCATCGTCAAGAGACATGTAGAGTTAATATTGACATTACATTAAGAATTAACCGTGAGAGCATCAGATATAGAACACCAGCAATTGATGTTTTCAATAATCCGAGAATACAGAGAGATCTTATGTCAATTTATTATTCCAAGGCAACAAAATTAAATGAAAGAACAATTAATAAACCAAACTAGTTATTAAATAATTACTGATGATAAATTTCTCTCTCTCTCTCTCTGTCATGTATACTTTTTTTATGTGAAACCTTTCTTTCGTTTACATCTACCTTATTTCAGAAATGTATATCTCGTCAATCGTACATAAATATTTAAAAATATAATATGAAATAGTTATAAATAATAATCTCACCCCGAAATCGCTAATGGCCAAGGAGACTAGTAAACAGTTGGAGGCGGTCCGCAATCTCTTGTACTTGTAGAAGGCAGCCAGGATGATGGAGTTCCCGGTGATGGTAATAGGTGACAGAATGCACACTATGGAAACCGCTAGAACCACCGAGATGGGACTGACGTCCAGTCGCGTGTCTATCCTGGTGACGGTGGGTACGAGAACAGTCGTCAGTTCTTCAGCGACGGTGGATGGTGATGTGTCCGTGGCGAGCGTTGACATTGTCGCTCTCGCGGCAGTAACCGAGTCCGTACTTATCCTCGCCTGTAAGACCTTACTTCAGGTCAAGTTGCCTTCGTCCTCGTAGACGTGTCCTCTTCCGTACGACGTCATGACGCGATGTCTTCCAGACTGTCACGTCGCGTCAGGACGACACGGACGATCGACGACGAGACCACTCGCCCTTAACAGGCGGATGATCAGTCGCACTGACGTCGTCGCTCCACGCTGTAAGCAAACCATTTTTCATGCAATAGACCGATAGTTGGATTATCTTCGGGACAACAAACTTCCGGGATACATTAATCTTCGAGCGTCGTAATTTTAATTATTCGGTAAGGATAAAGATATGCGAATCATGATTAATAATAGCAAATCAATGGATATAATGATGTTGCAAATTAATGCGTGACTGAAAATTTTTGGTAATTACATTATTACAAAATTTTTAAAGGCATTTACACATTTCTCTTGCACTTTACAAAGATAATTAAATATGTATCGCGAAATAATTGAATGCATATTTTACATTCAAACAGTAAATTATCTTTCATCGTATATATTTGCATTTCGTGCAAAACTTTATTTGCAATTATAGGAAAAATAGGTAAAAAATTATTTTACCTTTAAAAAAGAAACGATAATAGAAATTAATAATAAAAATACAATTACAATAGATGAATGTTATGTACAGTTTGTTTTTGTAATAATAATATCGGTATAAAAATTGTGGTATAAAATTTTATGAAACAATAGCATGATATCAATGTTATGTAGATGGAATTATTGATGATTGATGTAGATTGGAATTATTGCATGAATTGACTTACATGATCTGGATTTCTGTATTATTTCTATATTTACTGTTTTTATTTTATTATAAAACTTACATTTTAATTTTATATGAAAATATATATGTATCATTTTGAAAATTGTATGTGTGTGATTCCAATTCTAAATCTTGTATTATTTCTACTGGAAGATATAATTTTAAACTCTCGAGTCTTATTATTGTGCAATATTGAAGTACAAAATGGAGAAGTGAAAGTAGTGTTGAAATCTACTTTGTCTGTGCTTATAATTTCCAGGCTTTGAAATCATAATTTTCTCTGAAAATTGCCTGAAAATTAAGAACTGTTCTTTTGGAATGTTTTAATTAAAATATTCCAAAAGAATAGTTCTTAAATAATAACGCTTATTAATATAATAATGCTTAATTATTGCCAAAACATTAAGAATAAATTTTAAATAAAATTTTAACTTTGTTATTTTAAATATTTATTTTCTTTGTTAATGAAAACTTTAAATTAAAACGCAATATTATTGTTCAAAGAAGTATTGTGTGAGAATTTATAAAATAAATTATTTATTTTTCTATTTTCGTGTAATTCTAGAAAAAAACTCAATAATGTTTGAGATAACTCTTTAAAGAGAGATAAGATAACTATTTAGAGAGATAAGAGAACTATTTATAAGATAATTCTTTCACAAGTTTAGTTCTTTCTATTAACTTTCTACGTTATGATTAGTTCCCAGAGGCATTGTAAGTCTTTCTATGTTCGACAATCTGAGGCTTCTGCCTTATGGATGAGAGATTTTCGAGATTCGTAGCATTGAAGTGCTTAGGCTTAATTGAAACAATCGATCCGTTAAGAAATTACGAGTTATCGAAACGTCGAATTTTCTAATCTTTCTGTCAGAAATCGGTACTAAATTGATATAAGATATGTTCTTGATTCTTTTCTATATTTATTTTCACTCATTCTTTATTTTTCTAATTCCTTTGACACTCCCTTGTTATAGCCTTTTGTAATTGTATATCTTTGTTTTTAATTATTTTTGCTTTAAAAACAGTTATTATATAGATTTTTTTCTATGTAAAGTCATAATACGCATAAAATTGCACGTATCTCATATTGTAAAATTTTAATTTTAGTGTGCGTTTATTTTAATTTTTATTTAAATAAGATTATATATTATTACAGTTTATTAGCTTAAATCTTTCATAAAAAATGATTAGTTTTCTTCTTTTCCATTTTATCAAAATTTTATTATCTTATCATAGTTTTTTAATCAAAAATATCTGGATAGTATACTTTTGCATTGTATTTTTATAAATATTTTATATTTTCTGATAACTTAAGCAATTAATAATTACATCCACAGTGTATATCCAAAGAACCAATTGTCATGTTACAGAAATAACAATCGCACGTTCTTTTCGAATGTTTTCATTTCTCCCAAAAGCAAAAAAGCAGAGGACGCGTTAATCTCATGCATGATATGAGAAGGAAAGAGCTTACGAATGTCACACGATATCCGCGTTAATAGGAGTCCCAGTTTACGAACAAAAGAGGAGGTGAGCCTCGGTAGAGAGATGAACTTAAATTCGTCCGTCCAGCAACCATTAGCCCGCATTTGCAATTCGGATGAACCGGAACGCGACATTAATGCTCGCACGGTGGACGATGGTCAGCATCTGGATGCTTGGGCGGGTTTTAACGCCATCAGGATCTCTTCCAACTGGAGCAATTTGCTAGACGAGGGCCCACGTGGCAGTTCTTGCCACATGAGGACGTTTAATTAATTCCAAAGTGTCAAAATGCGGAGCACACTTCGTCTCAAGGACAGTATTTTCTCACGTCTAATGTCCAATTCTAGCTATTACGAATACTTCTTTGATGAGAGTAATTAAAACCGGCTCTCCAGTGCTTTTAATCTTTTTAATTAAATATTCATTTTTCAAGTATACATACCGTAACTATCTGTAATGCGAATAATCCCTTAGACGGAGATTCGTGATCAGAATTAATTTATTGGATATTTGGAGATAAAATATAATTAAATTGTTTTTAATAAAAGAAGGTTACATAAGAATATTATTAATAAAAATTATGTACCGCAAACGTGAATGTATGATAGAAGAATGTTATTATAGGAACGACAATTCAAATCAGAGATATCAATGATATTAATGTTTGGAATATAATTGGAAATAATCAATTTTTCTGTAATTTAATATTTAAACTCTTATGTTCTATTTTCGTAACGAATATTGATACGAAAGCATGCCAAAGGAGTGCACCTACTATATTAGTTGTTAGTGGTTTGATTTTATGATGATATTGAAATAAGTGCAATCGATATTGTAAAACGAAAGAGAGAGTTTTACTACATCAAAATAAAAGTAGACGAATATATATCAGTAGTTTCTTTCATATTACATGGAACGGAATATTGTCAGTAAATATGATTCATAACGGCTTCAAATATCTCTCTCTTTTCCTCCTTCTTCCTTTTTCTCAATTTTTTGTGTTCCACTTTTATTTATAATGAAAAAGTCAGTGATCCAAAGTGAAAGCTTTCTCGTTTTAAAAAGAAGTCACGCGAGACAATTGTATTATAATTATGGTCTCTTTCATAAAAAAATTAGGAAGAAAAAATTAAGAAAAAACTAATCTCGATATTTTCTAATAAATATACATCATGACTCTTTTAAAGAAAACTTAGTTTTGAAATTATTATTTATATAGTTTATTTTTAAGTATTAGCATAATATATTAATACCATTAAATAAAAGTAAATTACAGGAAACAAAATCTAAATACATTAAGTATTCCAAATTTTTTTAAATTATAGCGCATTATATTATACTCTTATAAATATTATTTATATTAAATAACTATTGAAAAAAATTTAATTATAAAAATATTTACTTATAAAAATTTAATTATACAAATATTTAATTGTAGAATAATCTCAAATAATTCTTTCTACAATACTATACAGTGCAAAGTTTTACGATATTTTAAATCGATCTCGACTGGAGATTGTGCAGGCATTTTAAATCTCAACTGAAAGCTTCTTTATTCTATAATTTCAAGTAACTTTCTGTTAAATTGCTTGTTGTCATAATATTTTCGATCTGTCCTATAATTGACCTATAATGCACAAATGATGTTTCAAACGATATTTATAGCTCGCTTACATTCGATTTAAATATCGTGCCAATATAGCATATTATATTTATAAATCTGCATGAGTTAAAGAAATAATTGTAATCTATCATTACATGTATAATCGATCGGTTTTTATTATTATCGGTTGTTATTATTTTTTATTAACTAATGAAAAGCGAGAGCGTAATAAGTGGGAAAATTGATTAAAGGACTGACTCCATTTTGCTTAAGACGAAATATAATCACATATAAACATGTATGAATCTAAGCGTAGGATAAGAAATGCAAACATTTTGCGAAAGCTTTAATATCATTAGAAATCGAGGAAACAACAGTGTGCAGTCATATTATTGTGTGCGATGAAAAAAAAATATTTTTAGTATCACAAAAATTTAAAATTACACAACATGCGCAAATTTTAATACGTTTTCTATGAATTAAATGAATTTTCGTGTAACGCCTTATTAATCGTTTGCCAATATATAAATCCAATTTATCGAATGTCATTATGAACAGATATTTCCGCGACAATCAGATAAATTCATTGTAGCGTGCTATAGATAATAGAAATATTAATGGGTTTCCTACGATATAGGATTTTGTCTTCTACTTGTAGTTTATCGTCATTAGTCAAGATTGTATTAAACGTCCGCCCCCTCATTTCCGCTGTTGTTGTCAATATGATCGACATAGTCAATTATCCGACCAAACGAATCGCGAAGGATGGCGTGAATAAATCGCGGCAGGAAAAATTTGCATCACACAGTAAACCTTATGAATACTGAGTAATGAAAATAGTACGACGTAATAGCGAAGAATCTGTATAGTAACTAATAAAAAATGTAAGCTTCAAGCTTTTTTAATTTACGTACATCTTGCAAAGAAAAGAGCCAGCCTCTCTAAAATTATCTTGCTTATGCTTTTGCTTATGTTCGTGAGAAAGAGTCACCGAATATTATAAAATTTTTTAGATTTTGCTATAAATTTATTTTTTTTCAATATCGATCGATGAATATAAAAAAGTATTTAGGAAACACTAAAGTATACCGATTAAACATTCCTTTCTTTAAGATATAGAAATTCTTAATTTTTTAATATTTTTCTTTTATTTAAATTTCGAGAATTCTATTGAAAAAGTAAAATATATAATGTATATTATGCGAACGAATCATGAAATGATATATATTCTTGTGATATATATTCTTGATTGATATATATTCTTGATATATTCTTGTGGTTGAAAACTTAGCGAGCAAATAGTAAAAGAGGTGTTCTTTTCTCATTCTACACCACTTAATGATATAATTATAAGGCAAAGGTTACCTTACTATTAACTTTATCATAAAGAATGGGTCTAGACTAATAGCTATAATCTTTCCTTATATCATCTTAATCGAATAATAAAATTTAAACATTATGTACAATAAAAAAATTCTTGTAAGATACTATCAAAATCTGTAAATCAAAACATTCTTAATAAATTTTATATTATATATTACCTATATATATATATATATATATATATATATATATATAATTTTCCATATATATATTATTTTTTAAATTGCTAAAATTTAAGAAAATCTAATTTCTTTCGTTTCTGATTTTAGATGTTTGAATGATATTGCTTCAATGTTGGAAATTGAGATGTGTTTTCGTTTAAGGGAAAAGTTGTTTCGCAGCAGGTAGCGGCAATAGAGCGAATTTCAGGAAAGCTTAACCCCTTTTGCGCACTCCCTTTCTCATCGGTGATTAATTGGAAACACGTGGAAACAATGCGAGAACGTTTTCCGGTTGAGCGTTTCGCGCATCGAAGCTAAAGTCAATCATCAGAACGGAAAACAAATTGCGTTACAGCGGCAACGAGCGATGTGAGATACGTCAGTTTTCGGCAGGTCTATCATCCCCAGATTTCAAGGTAACTGGTTCGATTTCCAATAGGGGCTGCCAGGTCGCCGTTGCGAGAGCTGATTGGATAATCAACTTAGGAATTGCAGGTCTAATTACAGAAGGGTGGAGAAATGGTGACACAAGGGGTTCGCTTCTTTCACTCGTGCCCCTATGATCCGTGATTTAATTGCGGTTTACGGGAGAAACGGAAAATATCTCGACCTGATTGCCCCTGAACTTTGCGATCGATTAGACTATCAGATTAGACTATTAGAGAAATGTAGGATTAACTAGATAGTAAGATGAATCGTGTTCGGAAAGAACTTTCATCACGCTTTATAAAATGAAATGAATAATCGAATAAAAGTTCGAATATTTCTGTCTTATTTTCTTTAAAATATGCGAGCCACTTTCAGATACACGACACATATTTATAACAATCAGTTTCTCTTATTTGTCATGCAGAGTATTTTCCTGATTGTATATTTATTTGTGCGCTTTAGATTTTTATATGAAATACAAAGAGAACAAAATTAATTTTTTGACATTTTTGTATAATTCCAGAAACAGATATATGTTATTTTCCGTGTGAATTAAAATTCATAGACTTGTAGTGATTAAAAAAAAAGACGCATGCGAGAGATCGTTTAATCGCTTTCTTCTTGATAAACTGTGTGATTATCCGATAAAGTATGTAGATTTTTTTAAATATATACATGAGTTTTTAATGTTAATATCAGTTTTTACGCAAAAACAGGATTATGCAATATTTATTCCGAGCGTGTCATTCATTATATTTATTCCGATCATTGATGGCATGAATATTCAGATTTAAGTTCTAATGAGCCATGCATTGCTAATCATCTTGTCCTTGGGATGTAAATACCTCCGGGACAAATCTTCAACGCCAACGCGAGAACATACATCCTCATTAATTATCTTTAAGAGCAATTACGTAACGTAAATGTATTGCATAAATATATGACGGACGATTATAATTTTGGTTGCCTTGAGACCTGATCAAATCTTTTTAAATTCACATACATTTATATGATTTACTTATAAATTTCAATTTTTTTATTCCTTTACTGAAAAGTGCAAAATATCGAATACAAAGTATGTTCTTAGAATATCGTGTATCTTCTATCGACGTCGTTATCTAAAGTTGAATGAATAATGATTATTTTATATATGGAATGTAAACATGCCAAAAGATTATGCGAAAGAGAACATAAAAGTTCTTCTTAGAACGTATATATTTGAACATACATATGTATTTGACGAAATTCCGTAGGCTGCTACTCACAACGGGAACTCTGAAAACATGAAAAAATAAATATCATTTGGCCATGATATTGTGAAAATAACAACCTTGATATGAGTGAGGAATGCGAGAATATTTTGTGTGGGACTATCGAAGGTTACGCTAATTGATACAAGTTACGATGAAATGAAAAACATTGAATTGAGAGCGAAAATTGCGTTGGCGTGAAATCTATTATATTAGCACGAATCATCGCGTCAATAATTAAAACTTTTAGATATTAATATGTATGAATAATTCGTACATTTTACAAAATATCGTTTCGTTTATCGCGCAAAATTGTCATGACAATAAATGTATTCGATAATATTTCTGTCACGTAGCAACACGAGACAGAGATATGAACCTTTGTTACACTCGCTTTTCCCTTTGTTTGTATAAATGGACCTGGGAGGGTTAACATTTGTTTGAAAAAAATGGTATTTTCTTTGAAAATCGACAGCAAACATTCATACGACTAAATTGTAAAAAATATCAATACCCGGAAATTTTGAAATTTGTTTGACGTTATGCTTTTACAAATTATCTTAACGAAAAATCTATAGAAGATATATTTAATTACGTTACATAATTATATTATACAGAAAATATATATACTTTGAAAAAAAGAAGAGATATTTGAATGCAATTTCAACATGTTTAAGTATAAAAATAGATTTATCAATCACGACTTGCGTATTAAATTGAGCTTAAATGAATGTAAATGCACTTGACCTGTTTTGCCATTGATCCTTAATATTGTTGCGATAGAATCGTTTGCTTCGACATTCTTGATATATCTATATTTCTTGTTGCCTTTGCAAGTGATCTGATGTGTATTTCTGAACTCTATGACGTAATTTCTAGGAGTCGTCAGTATTGACCGAATGTCAACTTCCGGAGTTAATATCCGGTTGAGAAACGAACGAGATCTAATATTACGTGCTGGAATGCAAGGTTTCTTACGATGGAAACAAGAAATACCACGGATAGTGCGAAACTTGAATAATCAATATCGGTGGCAATGAAAAACTTCGAGCGTGATGTTCTTGCTTAGCATAAAAAAGTGTAATAAAGAAAAATGTTTTCGACAAAAGAGGATTCAAGTTTTCGAAAGATTACTGGGGAAATTTATTACTTGTCAAAGATGACATGTGAAGAAAAATTTATCTAATATTTTATCTCTGAATAAGAAGTTAGAATTTATTAATAAAATTAAATACATTATTGTTTTTACAAGCAGCTAATCAATGATAAATGATATTGCTTTGCAATCGGGGTTCACACATTAATTTATATTCACATATATTTTATTCTAGGTACGTACTATTCATTCAATAAAATAATGTATCAGTGAAGCTATTTAATGTATTTACGATTCAATAGCAATCATTATGTCATATTAATAAATCATAAATATGAATCAATAATTCTCTAACATCTCAATAATTTATGACCGAGAATAAAAAATAAATCAAGGAAATGTCAAGTATACAACATTTTTTTTTCTTCTAATATGTTTTTACACAGTATATGTCAATTATATATTCACTTTATCATTATTGGTTTTTACTCATTCATAAAAAAATTGTGCAAATCTAAATAGCATTTGCGAGAATTAATATTTAATACTAATTACTATTTAATACTAGTCAAAAAATAGACGGACCTTTTTGAGTATACGAATAAGTAGCTAGGCAATATTGAGTCTTCTATAATTTATCTATAGAGAAACATATACGTATAAACGGAGAAACATATACATATATGTATAAATTTATGTATGTCCATGAATTTATCACAACTTTAATGTATATTTGTGTGTTTCGAGTGGTGCTTTGTTGTGTAGCTTTCTTTTATTGCGACTTTATGTCAATTTAAAATGCTGTCAATTCCAAAAAAGAAATGCGAGCAGAAAGATACGTTTTTTTCATTCAAAGACAGGGTGAAATCTTCAGGGATTATTCGCAGAATGCAACAGAATCGTGAGAGTTATAAATTACAGGAAAATCTATAAGTGAATAAATTGTTTTAAAAATGGTCAGATTTTTATCTGATTTTTTGCTTTTTGTCACAGACAAAAATCCAAATTTTAAAACGATCCAATTTTAGAATTATCTACTCATAGACTGAGATTTAGACAATTCCCACCGTCTTACTACTGCATTCTGCGAAATCTTTGTAGGTTTCACCCAGTCTCTGAGAGAAGAAAATATCTCTGCTCGCATTTCTTCTTTGAAATTAGACAATAGAGCATTCGTTTTAAATTGGCATAAAGTCACAATAAAAGAGAGCTACACTTTGAACATATGATCAAGATCAAGGTCGTTGGTAAGAGATTGCTTCTAGGTATTTACCCTACACACAAATATTTAAATTTATGATAAATCGTAAAGGAGTCAATGTTGCTAGCCATCTTCGAGAAAACAAAAAGTCCCTTTTTGGATTTACGTTAGTATAAACTGAATATATACGAGAAAGTATCAGCAAGAAAAATAAAATTATCTTTTTTACATTTTTACGTTTCAGAGAATGTAAGCTACTGCATAAAAGCATTGTTTGATGTTGTTCATTCCAGAATTCTCAGGTGATGCTCGAGTGATAAATATTCATTTGTAAACTGAGTCACAAATGCAAATGTTAATGGGTGGCAAAACGCATGTAATTATATAATGTTAATGAAAAATAATTGAATTCTTGTTGTTGTAATCTACCCAGCTCGAAAGGTATTTGCAATTAAATATTTTCGTGCGTATTGTAAATATTTCATTCATACGTAAATGTGACGGTATGTAGAAAATATAACAATTATTAGTTTTTCCACTGATAACGAATCTTTATTCATTATGTTAATTCAATTGTTTTTCTTTATTCATTACGATATATAAATAATATAAATAATTAAATCGAAATAAATTACTATATAATATCGAGTCATATCAGCTAAATTAGAAAACAAAAATAAGAAAAAATCTTTTCATTTCATTCGAAAAAGAATAGATTAAATTAATCTTGTTTTTCTTGTGTTTCTATAGTTGATCTAAACTTTTGAAACAGATTTTTTTCTTCTAAAATGTGCATTTGTTTCGCATTGTGATCGCGAAAGATGCTTAAATTTGCATATTTTTTTGTTGCCTGTTATATTTGTACGTCGAGCGCTTTGTGTAAGCTCTTGCTTGTAAAATACAGCAATGCGAAATTCCTCGAGAGCGTGCTTTATCGTGACGAACACGCTGTTCGCCAAGAGATTTAAACTTACGTTTACGTTCTCTATATGGAGCAAAACGATCGCTTAAAATAACTGTTTGTCTATTAGTCAACTTCCGCAACTGCATTATGTTTAAATAAGAAGCATCGCTCAAGAAAGATAACGAGAATTTAAAGTTAAAGTTGTTTCACAATTTAGATGCTTTATTCGTATTTTGAAATCATTAATCGTGTGTCTACGATGAATATTTTACTTTGTTTCAACTTTTTCGTTGTTTGAGCCTGAAGGGATACGAACTATAGTCGTACGGACTGCGCGGACAAGCTTGCAGGGAAAATATTTGTTCATTCTCGTGAAAAAGGACACAAAAGAATGGAGATCTTTTTACACGGGAACTGTCTTTTACACATGGAATTTCATTTTATTGTCAAATTGAAGAATGGTAAACAAATAAGTATTTTTATAATTTTAAACATGCGTCATAAAGAGCGCTAACTTAAAATGTACTTTATTAAAGAAAACTATTTCAGGTTAATTAAACGAGTTTGTGTCATATAAAACGTGAGTTTATGGCCATTCTTTCCGTGGAAAATGTATAATTCAAAATATAAATATAATCAAGTTTCTAGTTTAAAAAGTAAAGTTTAATTAATTTTAAGAAAGAAGACTAAAGACGGGATAAAATTCTAATTTTGAATTAAACATCCAAAGTAGATATATATGTTTCAAGTTAGTACTAAGCGTGCTTACGACATTCAATTTTAACGAAAACCGAACTTTTAATAAAATATCAAACATTGTTTTCTTTATGTCGAAGAACCATGCATACGATACGCAAAATTTAAATTCCCTTGTAATTACTATAACTTCGATTGCTCTTTCTCTTTTTCTCTTCAGACGCGCTTCGGTAAATCTCCGCGGCGAGTTATGAACAAAGTTGCATTTGCATATTTCTACGGTTAAAAGAACTTGGATAGACTTCAATCAAGTTATACATACTAAAACTGGCTACAACGACGAAGTAATAGTATGACTTATATTAATTAAACTTCGTGGATATTTCTTGTGAAATTACATCATATTAACAATAGAATAATACAGGGAATACTATTAAAATGCGTTTCTGGCAAAGTTAATTCCTTTTTTACATTTAAAATGCATTTATTTCTCACAATACAATTGAATGGAGATGAAAAGAAGAATTTTCACACATCATTTTATGCAATTGTCTATGGGAGATAGTAAAGTGATTTAAATTTGTCAGATGATTTAAATTTTCAAAAGGAATATAAAAAAGCTCCGCAGCGTAGAGTGAAATTGACATATAATGCAATGCCATCAACTGTGTCTGCTAATTACTAATTAGCGAATGGTAAAGAACTTTAACAATCGCAACTTCAACTTTACAACTAGAAATGTTTGAAAAACAATAAAAACATAAATTTTGTAAAACTGAAAATATTTTGTTCTACAAATTTAACAGCAGCATATGCTATTGCAAATTTATAATATTTGTAAAATATAGTTGTAACATTTGTAAAGTTAATTTTATTTCTAAATAGCAGTTTTTTTATGTAGCTTTCGATCTTAGAGATACATATATATTATAGAAGAATGTGTTACGTTATTTATGATAGTGATAATTTTTCATAATAAAATATTTTCTAACTGGAAACGTCGATGTAAGGAGGATTAAAAAAATCGAATAATTGATTTGCATCTCTATTGCAATCTTGCACAGCCATCCTTCTTTGACACATTCATCACCTTGAGGAATGCCAAGCATTCAAGGCTTGATTCGAAAT